TTAAGGTAATCTAATGAAGCCTGTAGTGACTCTATTGCTCAGTACTTTCACTTTCGGTGCCAGGCCAGCACGCGCTTCGCCAGCGCTGACTTCGTGCAATCCGTCTTAGACGCTGTCGGAGAGCTCGACCAGGTCTTTAGTGAGATGGGCCGACCAAGCAAACCATGGCGCTCAGACGATGAAATCAACAGGATCAGCGGTGAGGGCGAGATCTCCCTGAATCTCGTGGACCTCATGGGGTTTCTGGATCTACAGCCTGATGGAAGGATGAATGTTTCTCGCGAGGCGACGGCCAAAAAGGCATTCAACGCATGGAAGAACAACGAAGCCTTCAGCAGGAGGGTGGTCGCTATCCTGACGGAAGAAGGCCGAGGATGTGCTGGTTACAAAGACTACGGCACACTGGTTAAGTGGCTTCGCCAGTTCTTCCCAGAGGAAGAGAAATATCGAATCTTGGTCCATGCCCATGGAGGGAATGGTAACACTCAAGATGCGGCCAGTGTTGAGAGCGTGTTCAAAGGGGCAAATGGGGTGTGGTCCGCACTGATACCGCAAGCTGCCCAGCAGGGCCACAACTCCTCCTTGGTGTTTCTGGACAACCTGCTCTCGCTTGGGAACCAGAACGTGTTGGAGGACGGGCTTGCGCACTACCGCAGCTTTGTGCCCGGACTCCACGGCTTAGGCTTGAAAGCATAAAGTGAAGTGCAAAGGTGGTCAGTCATAAGTCATCACCCGCCCTCCATGCCAGAGGGTGCAGCTTCTGGCAGAGCTTCAGGACTTTTGGCTGCATCAAGCAGCCCAGTGTGCACGGCACTGCTACTTCCTCAACTTCAACAGCTTCCAGATCCCAGATGATTGTCCAATCTGGGGGGGTCGTCCTCCGCAACTCCTCCACACGGCATTCTCTACCGTCTCTGGGGAAGAGTGGCGAAAGCGACGGGGTGACTACTACAACACGTGGGCGGATGATGCCAAAGTCGCGTTCAGGCAGTATACCAAGAGCCAGCTGGCCAGGGAGGTAGCACGTCTCCGTGCGGAGCGCAGCAATCAGGGTAACTACCGATTGTCTCCCCTGGTTTCCGACCTTGAAGTCTGGCGCAACAGGCTGCAGGAGGCTCAAGTCTTAGATGTACGAGAGAGGGCAGGGAACTTCCACGAGGAAGTTCGTTCTTTGGCCTTCGCGTTGATGAATGCAAACATCCGCGCCAATTTCGACGAGGCCGTGAACTTGGCGAGTAAAGCCCGCCCAGAGTCTAGACTCAATCCCCTCCGCCCGAATCCTTCCTAAGCCTTGCTTGCCTGGTCGCTGATCGTCCATGACCTTTGAAAGCACCCGAAGCCTGCAGTCAGGCGGTGACCTTGAAGGAGCTGGTGCGCATCGTCCGGGCCAGGAAGCAGCAGAAGGAGTGGGGGAGTTTTAGGGTGTGGCCTTGCAACAGAGTCTGCCTAGCAACAGCTTCCACCCAGCAGGAGCGCTTCCCGAAGGTTGACAACTACGAGAAGGCCAAGCAGCATCAGGGCGACAACGAGTGAGCACACGTGACCGGGGGACCCTGTTGAACTGCAGACGCCAAGTGTACAGCAGGCCGATGCTTAGGGCACTTTAGGCACCGTAGCGATGCTCAACCATACCGAAGGTATCTCGTTCTTCTCTGCTACAGGAGCTCGAGTTTGGCAAACTCGAAGAGCTAAGAGCGAGTCTCGATATAGCTAAGCAGCTGGAAGCAGTACTTGTGATGGCTGGAATTCCTGTCCACTCTTGCGACTGTGGCATAGCTCGCTGGTCAAAGGCCACTTGCCCGAAGGGCAATGTGGAGCCCTGGCCTCATTCCTACCAAGAAGGTCATGCAGTGGTCGGTGTAGGCCATAAGATCCTGATCAAGAGTAGCTGCTAGTTCTGCGTCACTTCCAAACGGCAGCGACGCTTCACACCCGCTTGCCCCCGCATCGGTGCTCGGAGAAGGAATTGGCCAATCAGTTCACAGCTCGTGGTGCATTGCATGTTCAACCGGATTTTGTAGGCATGTTGTGAGATTCGGACTGTGCACACATGTGCTTGCGGCAGCCATTCAAGTTTCGCTATCGCATGTCCTTGTATATTATATCTGACTGAAGCCTTTCGCTCTGTGCTTGCAAGGTCAGCCTAGTTGACCGTTTACACTTAGACAGCTTTTTAGTTCGTCTTGCACCTAGGGGCCTTTGCCATGGCGACACGGCATGCATCCGGCCAGTTAATCAGCATGGATTTGCAGCAAGAGCAAGACCCACAGGGTGAAGTGAAGATCACCGAAGTTCAGATGCCGGTGTGCAACGTTCACGATGTCGAAGACTTGTTCGAGAGCCAAATTGCCAGACTGCGGCAGGAGTTTCAACTTGAATGTACTGATCTCCGCTCGCGACTCGAAGACGTGGAACGGCAGCTTACTGGACCTGTTGGTCCCTCTGTGCACCGCTACACTTCCGGATCCATGTCGATTGAGAGTCCTTCCAATGCTAATGCGAGCACGATCAACGAGAACCTATCCAATGTTGAGGTGGAGGTTGCTGATGATCAGAAAGGAGATTGTTTTGTAACAATAATCATACTCCTCTGTCTTTACAAATGTTGGGGATCCAGTTAGGAATCTAGTCGACACGTTTTTTTGAGTGCGAGGAGAAGTGGCAGAAGAAATGACAGAAATTCGGTTTGAAGAGAGCATTTGGACGGTGCCTTTGCTGTTGGGTGTTGCGGAGCTCCCTCTTGGGTGGTTTGACAGCCTTTTCGCTACCGTGCTCGTGTTGCTCAACCTGACCATGCAATCGTGCTTCACGGCCATTCTGCTTACACGTGCTTTCATGGGCGATGCTTTTGAAACGAAGGTTCGTGCTGCGGAAGTCTGGCGCAACAGTGTGGCACATGATTTCAGGCACCTGGACCTGGCGGACACAAGCCTGGTGTCGCGAGTGTGTCTGGGGGATGAGGCCCTCATTCTCTCGACGACCCAAGCAACTTTGATCGAACATATCAATGGTTTTCTTGGCTTGGAAAGGGCGCAGTTCGTTCTTGGGAGCTTCCAACCCGGCGTTCTGCTCTGCATGCTCTGCATCGTCCTGTGGACACTGTGCGTGTACAAGGTCCGTTGCTGTGGGAAGGGGTTTGGTGACAGTGAATTCAACCAAACATGTGGATACCCCGACCAATCATCGGCCCCGAAGTAATTTCCAGACCCGAATCCCGAACCCGAGACCTCAAGCAGAAAGCTGGCCGCTTGCCTGGAGGAGTTCCGGTTGATATGGACGCAGGCGGAGATCGCCTGTGCCATTCCGACGTCGCAGAGGACATCCAATGTTCAATAGGGAGTGTTAAGATTCTGCGGGTTCCCAGATAGACAGTCTGAGAACGGGAAGTGGGAAAGCTACAGTGGTTCCTGCGGTTGCAAGTGCATGCCCCAGAAAGAACAGATGCCCCATATTCGGGCAAGTTTTACCCGCAAGCTCCTGCACAGGACGTCTGTTCAGAGAAACAGATTCCGCAGCTTGTCTTGTGCGCGTCGGTGTCTGATCCTCGTCATGAGCTTGGCAAGAGCAGGAATTGCTTGCATCCTCTTGGTCGGTGGAATTCTGTGGCTGGCGCGCACAACTTCGATCCAGGAGCTCATGCTGAATGCTGTGGCACTGAATGCAATTCTGGATATTGATGAGTTCCTCTTCGTTGGCATGACACCAGCCAAGATTCAGGAGACACTTGGGAAGTTAAAGCCCAAGCACGTCAGCAAAGGTCACCTCAGAAGTCAACTGGAATCTGCTGTGCATTTTAGCTGCCTGGTCTCGGTGGTGCTCGTCTCCTACTTCTTGCTTTTGGAGCCTCTTCAAAGGATCATGCTGACGATCAAGACAGAGATGTGCTACGGCAACCAGACCTTTGTGGTGGCACACAATACAGACACCCAGAGGACCATCGGTTTGGTGACCGTGATGTCCCGGGACCTGAGAAACGATTCCATCAGTGAGATCGCGGTCCGCGCGCACACGGCGGCATCTCTAGAGACGAACCCAGACGGCTTCTCCACTTATATAAGCTTCGCAGCCGACATTGATTCATTTTCAGAGCGGAGGTCTCGCACCATGAGAGAGGAAGCCTCAGCCTTCCCCTTTTGCGTGGAGCCTCGGCTGCTGAACAGCAGCGGAGACATGTACGGCGATACCTCTTTGCAGCCATTGGCCACTCAGCTCGTAAACACTGCAGCGGCCACGGTCGGACGCACGGGCACAACTTCTTGCTTGGAGCTGAAGGATCAGTGCGGTCGCCTGAACGCGCGCTTGTTGCGTTTGGTGTGCGGACAAACATGTGGATGCACAGATCCCTACAGCTCCCCGTGGTACAAGACAGAAACGCAGGGCTGTGCTTCCACCTGCCTGCGGATAGCGCGAAGGGCGCTGGCCAGCAGTCGCTGTCAAGATGTGTCTGTGGCTTGGTATAACTTGAGGCTTCGTGCTCCCGAGGTTCTAATCTGCGTGCAGCTAGGGTTTCTACCGTAGTTCATGCCGAGCAGAAGCAAGGTGACCAGCGATGCCTGGCAGGCCTTTTGGTCGCTCTATCCCGCGGTGGCCAGGGCATATTTTGGTGAGGGGTCACAAGCGGACTTGGAGGCCGTCGTGGGGCAGACAGTGGAGACAATGCTGTCTACAGGGTGCGAGGGACTCATCGGTTTTCCAAAGGATACAATCATGGATGTTGAGTGGTGTGAAGGTATGCCGGACTTGTTCCGCCCTCTGGCGCATCTTTGCCCCCAGAGCTGCGGCTGTACTTCGTTCTCTGGACCTCTTCCAAGCTTCTGCCCAGGGAGCTGCGCTTCCTAATCTTAGGCTTCCAGCAGTTCCGGGTGCAGTGCTGGTTCTCGCAACAAAGGTACAGGCAGGCGCTGTATCTTTAGAATTTCTGTCTGCCCGCATATGTGTAGTTCTGAGAGGAGCAGGTGCTGTTAGCAGCTGCACGGTAGACGAGTCTGAGAATCAGATAGATAAGGCAGCACTGGAGTCCTCCAGCGTGCAGCACGAGTGCATTCCCAAAATAAATCAATACATGTGTTTGGCTTTCACCCTCCGCCAGCCGAATCGCCGAACAACGGCTGATTGCTGAACGGTCGTTTGGCCCCACTTTCGCGACTCATTGAAGGCCATCTGCTCGAAGCGAAAGGAAGAGAGCGTCTCCTGAGTCTTGTGCTCTGCGAACGGCCGGGAGGATGGTGAGGTTGTTGTTCGCAGTATTTGATTAACACAGATCCCCAACAACCAGTGCAAGCACATTGCTGACCCAGTAGGTAAGGACCTGTGCACGAGCATGTCAGCAGCTTTCGGAATTTAGCACTGTTGCGGGCTTCTCTATTGGAACAGCATCCGATCAAGTTCACATAAGCTTCGGCCAAGACCCAAGCTTCATGCAGTGTTTCGCGTGACATTTCTTGATGTCTTCCGAGCTTCGTATGTTCCAGCTCCACGAACAAGAAGCTCTGATTTCAGTCCTGCCGTTCTCCCACCTCGGACGTATCCTCTTCACGCCGTATGCGTTGCTGGAATTGCAATAATCCAGAGCCTGCGAGATGGGCTTGCACCGATTCTCCATGAATCTGTATGATGGCATCGTCTCAAGATGAACGGACTTGTTTGTGTACCTTGAGTTTGTCGTCTGGCTTGGTTCAGGAATGAAGCTCTGCAGAGAGGCTGTAGATTCCGGTGGGCCCCCGTGGATGGTGATGCAGCTCGAATCGGCAGGAGTGGTGCCAGGCCCGAGAGTCCGGGAATGCAGCTCGTTCAGTCTTTGCAAACGGCTTTTCGTGCAGAGCAGCCTCAATGATGAAGCACTGACACCCCTCTTGGACATGTTTTTGTCGGCTTGACATTTAACTTGCAAGTGCAATAGTGCTTGCCTGCAGGGGGGAACGAGAAACTGGATATCGACGAGGCAATGGGCAGAAATTGACTGTAATTGACTTGCCAAGTACAGCATCTTGTGCTTCCAGCAGCGCCTTTTTGTGATTCAGATTGACACATGGAAGACGGCCTTCGCACGAGCGAGACTGGAGGTCCCCGTCGCAGCATCGTTTCGAGCACATTCAGCAGAGCTGTTGCAGGAGTAGAATGGGTAGAGCACGATGCAGGTGGTCTTTGCGAGTGATGCATGGGCTGAGGGAAGGTTAAGTCCGCAAGTCGAACTGCGTGCAAGGCTTGCACCCTTCTCCTGCCTGAGTGGCGGGGCACTCTGGAGCTGCCTGGGGCCCCAGAAGCGCTTCCGCCAAGGTTTGAAAGGGGAAAAGTCACGTCTACGGCACAGCTTCGATCTGCTGAGGCCGTCGCACCAGTCGATTCTGCGCGGCTTCCACGCGACACCTTGTGCGGTGCGGGCCTTGGGCCTTGGGAAGGCTTGCCGCCAGAGTTGAAAGCACTTCGCTGTAGGACTTCCAGAAGGGCTACTGTGCGCTTCACCGCGTGCGTGGGAAAACATCCTTGTGTTTCTGCCGGGCACCTACCGACCCATTCGAGCACAGCGAACTGACTGAGTACACAGTCCGTGTTCACCAGTCAGTTCCGGTCACCATGGCTGACATATTTTTGTGGTGGCAGGACACTTTGGGAAGCCCACGGAAGCCCTAGTCCGACAGGATTTTCTGACACTTCGGGAAGCCTTGACGACCTGAGCAGAAAGTTTTAGTTAGGAATTCGTGGAGCGTGACACTAAAGCAAAAACCCTGTCAGGAAAGGGCTTTGAGGGTTCCCGCTTTAGCGCTGCTCGAGGCTTCCATTTCGACTCCCAGCGTCGCCGTGCTCCCATCGACGAAGCTGGTCGGCTGAGGCAGTGAAGAAGGGATTAGGGGATCCTTAATGGAGGGTGGCTCAAGGGGGGAGGGTCCTAGGATCCTGGGACTGCTGGGTTATATACCCCCCTTAGAACCCCCTCCCTTAGGGATTCCATAGAGGGAGGATTTCTTTGACTTTAAAGTTGGCTTTCGGGTGTCGGTGGCTTCTCTTAAGCTGCGATGGAGTGACAGATTCTGTCCAGATCTGTCCAGTCCAGGGGATTTCACATTTTCGTAGTCCTGCTAGTGGTGATGTTCGCGATGAATGCATAATGGCGATGACGACGACGATGATGATGATGATGCTGCTGATGACGATGATGATGATGATGGCAAGGCTGCCTGCGATGCTGATGGGGTGGCGGTGATGACAACCCTTCCCCCCTCATCATCATCTTTGTCGTTATCGTCGTCATCATCTCAGTCATCTTCACTACGTTCAGATTTTCATGATCGTCGTCGTCGTCGTCGTCGTCGTCGCAATCACAGTCGTGATCACGACCATCAATTTGGCTCGTTTTTGCTGTTTAGTTTCGCTGGCAATTATGCTTCATCAACCGCTGTACGAAAGAACAGATGGTTGTCGTCTTTCGTGGATTTCTTCTTGGCCAGACAGGGTCACTCGTTGGTGTCACGCTCGCGCCAAGATCCGCAGTTGTCCCACTGAGCTGCTGCCCAACAGTTCAGGTACTGGGACGTTGCCTGCCACAGTCTGACCACGGGAACACCCTGCGTCGATGGCGAGGATTGCGTTGGAATCTCAAGCCGTGCTTTGTTTCATCCAAGACCAGCAAGATCAACGGCGACCAAAGCCCTTAAAGCCACAACCATCGTAAGACGTAAGACAGATGGCGACGGCAAACAATGGCAAATCTGGCAGGCATTGGGAAAACCATCATAGTTGATACCCGAGACACAAACAAGTGCCACGGTTGCCTTGACTGATGCGCAGCAGCGGTAGCTGCTTCTACTTTTCTTCTTCTGCTGCTGCAGACATTGCTTTTTCGACTATTTGGACTTTGCTATTTGTGCCAGTAACACTGCCACTACCACTGCCACCGAGTACCACAATCAGAACTACTACCACAAACTCTACCAAAACTACTGCCACGACCGCAACCGCGACCACAACCAAAACTACTACCGCGAACAGGACCATGACCACGACCGAGTCCATGACCACTACCATTGCTACTGCCACTACGACAACTACTGCTACTCCTCTTCCTCCTCTTGCTGCTGCTATAGCTACTCCTACTCCTACTGCTACTGCTCCTCCTTCTGCTCTTGCTTCTTTGCTACTGCTTGTAGTTGTTGCGCTGCTTGCAGGCCCATAAGAGTCGGAGCGAGGATCGAGAAACAACTGATACTGTAGTGGGGTCTCCTGCGATACTTAGGAAAACGAAAGCAGGCACGGTTTGAATTTGCAAGTTTGGCAAGTTCTACAAATAATGACAACTTCCCAAAGCATACAGGTACAGGCTACCTGCAATACGAAAACAATGTTTACACGCCGGATGCTGACAAGTTTATATAGCATTGACATGATAGAGACAAAAGCGTTACGTGGCTCTGACACCGGTGAGTTGTAGTGTCGTTTCAAGCATGCGGGGAAACTGCAGTGGCAACCGCAGCACGAACAGCTTGACAATCGAAGGTCTTCGCGCATAGCCGTGACGAGATTTCATACCATCCAGCAAAGTACAAGACGAGGAGGTGCGTTCCAGCTCCTGGCAGCATGCGCTTGAATTCATCTTTGCATGTTGTAGAAGGCACAATGGTTCCCATGAAGCAGGTTTGTAACATACTTCGTTTGAAACTTGCTGTGCTCAGGCTCAGTCGGCCTGTCCTGCATTGTAGCGCATGATGTTCACGTGTGCCGGAGAAGGCGAAGGTTGTAGCCAACGGCGATTGTCGTAGTGGGATTTGATATTGGTTCACAAAGCAGCAGTAAAACTAAAGGATAGGAGTGACACTGAGAAACGCAGTCAACACGAATCACACTCGAAGACGTCATGGTTTTGTAGTGTTGATAATAGCCGTAGTACAAGCAGTGTGAGCAGCAGCAACAGCTAGCTCGGGAGCAGCAGCAGGAGGCGGAGCAGAAGTAGGATGACTTCACATGAATGAGTAGTAGCAGGCTGAGTAAACTAAGCAGTCGTGGTCTGGTAAACATGCCTTAGTAGTGTGCGTAGTAGTGTGGCGTCTTCGTCGTCGTAGTAGCAGCAGTCGTTGTAGCATGGTAGTGGTGGTGGTGCAGTGGTATTGAGAAATCTGCTCACAAGCCCCTCTCGACCGACCGCATGGACGTCTTTCTGGAATTACACATTGTACTAGCAAGAAAGCAGTCTAAACAAGAACAGTAGGTGACAGACAAGGCAGTACTTTTGCCGCCGGCAAAGCCCTGTCAGGTGCAACGGAAAGGGCTGCCGTGGGCAGGCATGGCCTCGTCTCCCTCATCTCTCCAGCTTTCTCCGACCAAGATTCCAGTCTCGGAGTATGAGGGCATGCATCAATGGCTGCTTGAGTATGGGAGGGGCATCACTACTGCTTGCGGTGAAGAGCATACGCCAAGTGCTTTGTGAGACCCTACCAGTCTGCAGAGGTTCGAGTCGAAACAGCAAACCTCACACCCTGAACCTTCAACCTTCCTTGCTTTGACCTCTCCCTTTCCGACCCATGCCATCCCTGGAGATGATGCAGGAGATCTGCTGCTTTGCACATGGAGAGGTGGCCCACGGGCTTTCTCGGTCGGGTTGAGGGTTGGCCGTTGAGTGCCCAGACCTTTGCTACTGCCGCATGTTCACGGTTGTGGTTGCGCCTCGATGGAGTTCTCGTACTGGCACCAATATTGACAGCAGAAACAGCAGCAGAGTGAACTCAGCAGCAGCAACAGCAGTAGTAGAAGTAGAAGTAGAAGTAGTAGTAGAAGTAGAATTAGAAGTAGAAGGAGAAGTAGAAGTAGAAGGAGAAGCAGAAGTAGAAGTAGAAGTAGAAGCAGTAGTAGTAGTAGTAGTAGTAGTAGTAGTAGCAGTAGCAGTAGCAGTAGCAGTAGTGGTAGTAGTAGTAGTAGGAGAAGTCGTAGTACCAGTAGTAGGAGTAGTAGCAGTCGTGGTGGTGGTTGTGGTGGCAGTAGCAGTGGCAGCAGCAGTAGAAGTTGCAGTAGCAGTAGCAGTAG